CCTCCATCTATTGGCTCTCCCCACCGCCTGTCGGTGCGGGCGGATGTCCATCGCTCTCCTAACGGCCGTCGTGTGTGCTCTCGTTCGGCTTCTCCTGTTGAGACACTGGAATCCGTTGCCCGGTACGTAGTTGCTGGGACACCGGTCTCTTTAAGTCAGAAGCGTAAGCCTGGCTCCTCTCCTTCCTCTTCCCCGGCGGGTAAGAAGGCTTCGCTTTCTTCCTCAGCTCCTCCTTCTGGCTCTGTTGCTCCTTCCCCTCCCGTTTCAGTGCTTGCGCCCCCTGTTCCTGCTATGGAGGTTTCTTTGGCCCCTGCTTCCCTTTCGGTTGCTGCTCTTGCTGGGGTGCGCTCCCCTCTTTCTACTCCCCCTCCTCCTGCTGCTGTCCTTGACGGCTCCTCTCCGTTGTCTCCTCCTCTTCCTCCTCCTCCTCCAGACCCTGCCCGCCCACCTCTGCTCTGTTCTCCCGTTTCCTTCCCTCCGTCTTTGCTCAGTTTACCCATGCCCCCTAACCCTGACTTTGCTGACCCTGATCCCGACCCTGATATTCTTTAACGTGCTCTGTTGGTCTTTCGCCTTTGTTTCTTCCTTGTTCTCTGTTTTTGTCCTTTCTCTTCTCGTCGTTGTCCATTCTTCAATGGAACGTTCGAGGTTATTACGCCAATTTCCTCGAACTCCAACTTCTGATTTCGCGGTTTTCGCCCCTTTGTGTCTGTCTCCAGGAGCCAATGCTTGGTGCTCGTCCTGGTCGTTTTCGTGGCTATTCCTTTCTCCCCCCCCCCCCCCCAGCCATTGCTGGGGCTTCTAATTCTTCTGCTCTTTTGATTCGGGCTGATGTTCCCTTTGTTCCTTTACTTTTTCCTTCGCCTCTCCATTGTTCTGCTGCTCGTATCTTTGTGGGGAAATGGTACACAGTTTGTTCCATTTATCTCCCCCCGAGTGTCCCGCTCTCTCTTCCTGATTTGAAACACCTCCTGGACTCCTTGCCGGAGCCTGTGCTCCTGCTGGGTGACTTCAATTGTCGTCATTCTCTTTGGGGTGACGTTCTGACGAATACCCGGGGTCGCCTCCTTGAGCCGTTTCTCCTCTCTTCTTCCCTGTCTCTTCTGAATTCTGGTGAGCCCACTCATTTGGACTCTCGGACTCGCACCCTTTCTTGTCTTGATCTTTCTCTCTGCTCTTCTTCTCTTTACTTAGATTTCACGTGGCAGGTTCTTGATGACCTCCATGGAAGTGATCATTTCCCCATCCTTGTTTCCTTTTTCTCTTTTCGCCCTTCCCTCTCTTTCCCTAGGTGGCAGTTTGCTAAGGCAGACTGGACCCTATTTACCCTCAGTGCTGCTCTCCCTGACCTCTCCCTTCTGCCTCTCTCTCGCGCTCTCCTCCTTTTTCATGACACTGTCTTCAACGCTGCCCTCCGCTCTATTCCTCGCTCTTCCTCTCGGGGTCCACGGAAGTGCGTTCCCTGGTGGAATGCGGACTGTGCTCGGGCTGTCCGCTGTAAGCGTGCAGCCTGGAAGAGGCACCGCCGTAGGCAGACGACCGATTCTTTTCTTTTCTTTCGGAAAGCGAGTGCGGTGGCCCGTAGGGCCATCCGTACGGCTAAACGTGAATGTTGGGCATCTTATGTCTCAACAATTACGTCCGAGACCCCTCTGGCCCAGATCTGGAAGCGTATCCGCAAGATAGCGGGTAAGTTCGTTCCCGATGTTTCACCGGTCCTTCACCTCCATGATACTCTTGTGGCGGACCCGTTGCAGGTCGCTTCCGAACTGGGTTCCCATTTTTCTTCTGTTAGCTCTGGTCTTCATCTTCCCCAATCTTTCCTTCTTCGTAAACCTGTCCTTGAGTCTCGTCCTTTAGATTTCTGCACTCATCTTCAGCTTCCCTATAATGATCCCTTCTCTCTCTCTGAACTTCGTTCTGCCCTGGCCCTCTGCGGTTCTACGGCGGCGGGCTCCGATGGTATTCATTATGAGATGCTTCGCCATCTCCCTCCGAGCACGTCTCAGTATTTACTGAGTCTGTATAATCGGATCTGGGAGTCGTCGTCAGTCCCTGAGGACTGGCTCGATGCCGTTGTCCTCCCTGTTCGCAAACCGGGGTCTCTGGGTACTTCCCCTAAGGACTTTCGCCCTATTGCTCTCACAAGTTGTGTCTGCAAACTCTTTGAACGTATGGTTAACGTTCGTCTGATGTGGTTCCTGGAACACCATCACCTCCTCTCCCCTTCTCAATTTGGTTTCCGCAAGTGCCGCAGCACGACAGATGTCCTGGTGAACTTGGAGGTCTATATTCGTACTGCTTTTGCTGCGAAGACCTCCGTTGTTGCCGTCCTTTTTGACCTAGAAAAGGCTTACGACACCACTTGGCGTTATCATATCCTATCTCAACTTCATTCTTTTGGCCTTCGTGGTCATCTCCCTCTCTTTCTCCGCAGCTTCCTCTCTCGTCGTTCCTTTCGGGTGCGCCTTGGTACCGCTCTCTCTCCCTCTTTTCAGCAATACGAAGGTGTGCCCCAGGGTAGTGTTCTGAGCACTACTCTTTTTCTTGTTGCCCTCAATGGTCTTCTTTCCTCTCTTCCTTCTGGTGTCTTCTCCGCTCTCTATGTCGATGATCTTACCCTTTGTTGTCAGGGTGATGATTCGCCTCTCCTTCAACGCCGGCTTCAACTTGCAATTGATGCCGTGTCGTCTTGGGCCACAGGTCATGGCTTCAAGTTCTCTACTTCTAAGACTTGTGCCATGACTTTTACGCGGAAACGGGTTGTTCTTCGTCCCTCTTTGTCACTTTATGGTCATCCCCTTGAATACAAAGATTCCGCGAAGCTTTTGGGGTTATTCCTTGACACTCGTTTGTCTTGGTCTCCCCATATCTCTTACCTCCGTGTTGAGTGCTCTAAGGCCCTTACCCTCCTTCGGGTCTTGTCCCATACTTCTTGGGGGGCAGATAGGCGCACTCTCCTTGCTTTACATTCCTCTCTCGTCCTGTCTAAGCTCGATTATGGTTGCCCTGCTTACTCGTCTGCTTCTCCTTCTACTCTTCGCCGTCTTGATGCTTTGCACCATACTGGGTTGCGCCTCAGTTCTGGTGCCTTTCGTTCGACTCCCATCCTTAGCTTGTATGTTGACACTGGCTTCCTGTCTCTCCAGGACCGCCGTGATCGCTACTGTCTTCGCTATCTTGCGCGGTCCTTGCAACATCCTTCCTCTCGCCTCTGTCGTGCTTTAACTTTTACCCCTCCTGCGGTTCCTGTTCCTCTTCACCACCTCCCTCTTTCTGTCCGGTTATCTCGCCTACAGGATTCTCTCTCCGTTCGTATTTCTGATGTTTCTCCTCGTGTTGTTCCTTCTTTGCCCCCGTGGAGGGTCCCTCTTCCGCGGTTTTGTACTTCCTTGACCCGTATCACTAAAGCTTTTACCCCTCCTACGGTTCTAAAACGCCTTTTCCTCGAGCACTTTTCTTCTCACTCCCGCTCCGTTTCTGTCTTCACCGATGGGTCTAAGTCAGCGGACGGTGTTGGCTACTCTGTTGTTTTTCCTGATCGCACTTATATGTGTCGCTTGCCTCCGGAGACTAGCATCTTTACAGCAGAACTTTATGCTATTCTCTATGCTCTTCGTCTCCTGCTTTCTCGTTGTCAGTCTTCCTTTGTGGTTGTTGTTGACTCTCGTAGTGCCCTCATGGCTCTCGGGTCCTTTAATCCGGTTCATCCAGTAGTTGTCGAGATCCAGCATTGGCTGTTTCTCGTTCACAGTAAATTTAAGTCGGTTGAGTTTTGTTGGGTTCCCAGCCATATTGGTGTGTCTTTAAATGAGCGTGCGGATGCTGCCGCTAAGGAAGCTGTCCGCTCTTGTCCCATCTCTCGTAAAGGCATTCCGTATTCCGACTTTTACCCAGTTATCCATTCCTCAGTTCTTACCCGTTGGCAGGCTTCTTGGTTGTCTGTTACTGGTAACAAGCTACGTACTCTTAAATGTTGTGTTTCCTCGTGGCCGTCCTCCTTCCACCGTAACCGGCGGTGGGAAACAGCTCTGGCGAGGTTGCGTATTGGCCATACTCGCTTAACCCATGGTCACTTGATGGAGCGCCGCCCTGCTCCTTATTGTCCTAGTTGCATTGTCCCTCTTACGGTCGTGCATGTCCTTCTTGAATGTCCTGACTTCCAGGACGAGCGTGTGTCTTGCTTTCCGACCGCCCCTCGCGGTCACCTGTCCCTCGATAGAATTCTTGGTGACTCGGATACTTTTGATATCGTTCGCCTTATGCGTTTTTGTTCTCGTATTGGCATCCTTGGTGATATTTAGCGCCCTCTGATTATTTTGCGTATTTGATGGTGCTACATAGCCTTCCCGGTTTGGTGCCTTCTTTTGATAATTACTTACTTACTATATCTAATCCCAATTATTATTAAGTTTTTGTCTAAGTGTTTTTTCCTCCACACCTTGCCCGATGTTATGAATCCATATATTTGAGTCTAATATTTATCATGATAAACATGTATGTCCATTATTTCGTTCCTCAATTATTTAAATTATACATTATATCCATTTGTTTTCCAGTATATATGTTTGATTTATATGAAGCATGCTGTAGTGTGTCTGTATGTAATATTTTGTTAATGCCATTGCATGTTCATTTCTGTGGGGGGAGACCGTGGCGTCTCATGGGGGAATGACCATATTTGGAATGTTCCAGTAACGCGTGCAGTATATCCAGCTAACGTCACTGATTCACACCTGTAATTATTTCTGTTTATTGATTGTACTTAATTTGTTAATTACACTTTAGCAGTGTTATATGCATATAAGTTTAGTTGTAATTATGTTCTTAAGTATTACTCTCTGATAGCAGAGTATCTAGAGGTTTCATGTGGTTTTTAGTTGGTAACTTTTAGACACCATGCCGTGCATGCTCCAGCAACGCCAGTCGCCTGGGTGGAGCTGGCTGGCGTGGACATGTTGGGAGATAAGTCTGTGGTACCTGTTTATTGTTTAGTAACAGCTAAATGCCTGGTTAGACCATTACTTGCATACCCATCTATCCATTTAAGTTTTAAAATAGTAATCAGTGTTTATATAATGATATTGTGTTATTGTACTCAGGTGCATTAATATTTCTGGCTGCCTGTATTTTCATTTATATGTTTGTATGTTCTTTTTTACCTTTACTTTAAGTAAATTGCTTTGTTGAGTAAGACAGTCTGTGATGTAGATCTATTGTTGGAGAGTGTGGGAGATCATCCAAATGATCAGCTTCTGTCGAGCAGTTGGAGACTTATTGAGCCTCCCTCTTCAGTTGACCGTGAGGGTGTGACCCAGCTTAGTATGTTTAGTGATTGTAAAGAAACAGTACTCCAAGTTTCTCAAGATTATGTCATGGGAGGACAATTTGGCAAAATTTGTGTAACAGTTAATAGTGATAATATTTTTTCTAAGTTTAAATTGCAGTGTGGTGTGGTCAGATATTGTTGTTCCAGGTGGATCAATTGTTTAACATTGTGTAATGCGAGTCAGAGTGTTCTGAGGGCATTAATGCAAGCAGTTGTTGTTCCACAGAACCCATACTCCCTTGTAGAAATGGACTGTGTATCATCTATGTCCAGAATATGTGTTAAGTTCAAGTGTTGTACTGGTTCTCAGAGGCAGAGTGGTGTTATAGGATTTTATCAGACTTTGAAGCAGAGGTTCAAGGTAATGTTGTTGAGATAAGTCTGTGGTACCTGTTTATCGTTTAGTAACATAGCCAATTACTTGGTAAGACCATTACTTGCATACTGTGACAGTGTTCCCCCCCTTATATTTCTCCCACGCCTGCAGTAAGAGTCATGTCCACTTTACCCAAGCGTTCTCTACGTCGCAGGCATCAATTTGATATATGTGGGAGAGTGGAGTGTTCTCGGAGAGCCGAGAAATTTGTGAAACAATAAGATTTTGGCCTGTGGTTTAGGCCCTTTAGGAAGCCAAGATGGCGCTGGCTCTCCTGTTTCCCCGCCAAAACTGTGTGACGTCAGTGACACCGGATTGGTCACCGACAGCAATGTGGCACTGGGAGCCAATAAAAACCTCCCATGGCGAATGTGACGTCACGAAGGAAGGGGGTCCGGGCAGCACGCCGTGTTGGCGCCATCAGTCAGACACGACACGTCAAGGAGGTTGGACGTGCGACGATTGGTCCTGTCAGTTTGACAGTTGTTTCCCGCTCCCGTGGATTTTACGCGTCACCTGAAGTCTGCCAGTACTCTGCGAGGTCTTCCTTAGTTCATGTGTTGAACCAGAGAGGGAATCGACGGTTATTGAGCAACAAGTGCTCCAGGTCAGGTACTGTGCGAGAAGAAGTGAAGTCTGTGCAGTGACGTATGCGACGTCTGAGGCAGTTCACCCATTCGTGATGGCGTAGTGGCTGAACAGAGCCACTGGGTAGCAGAGGAAGAAGAGGACTATTTGGGGAACCCGAATGACTGCAGCCGAGAAGTAGGCGGGCAGCCGTGGCTGGGAGAAGTCGACAGCCAGGAGACCGACTCCAACCCTACAAGAAGTCGAGGAGGAGCACGGACCTGCAGGGAAGAAGGCACGGAGACGACGCGCTAAACGGTGGGACAGCGATTGGGTTCCTGGAGGACACGACAACGTGTGTGTGGGGGCGTTCCCGACACGAGGACCAGGAGCTACAACTCAACTCTCATCGGTGGATAGGTGGAAGTAGGTGTTTATAGTTTCCCTCCCCATTCCCCTTTAGTCAGCTATATTATTCGGCTATATTATCTAGCCTGAGGATTTTATATGTCGTGAGCAAGTCTCACCAATGTCACAGTAAGGCACCAGTGTGCAGAATAGTACTATCAAGAGTACTCACGATACTTATATATATATATTATTATTGGTGTGTACAGGCACCCGGATTAAGTGACGAATTTTCTGTGTTGAGCATGTCTTTCATGAGACTTTGATGTGAACATATAGTGAGAAATTATATATAATATTACGCCAGTATTTGGAAGTTAGGCTATGTGCCCAGTAACTATTTATTTACCATTTATTGATGTCTGATGTATCTATATTATATATGTCTATGTTCATGCATTGAATAACCGTGTGTGAGTGCAGTGATTTATTGTGTTATAGCTCACGAAATGAAGTACTGAAAAATCCAGTGTCAAATACTTATTAAGTTACCATTGAAATGAAGGGCAGTGAGTAAAAACCATTATAAGTATTTATTGTCGCATTTATTATAGAAACAATTGTGTGAGCCCAAGTACAGTGTAGCGAAGTAATACGTGCTATTGTTGCGAATATCGAGTGTGTGAACTTCTAGTGATCTTTGAGAACTTAAAGAAACAGCGCGCGTGCCGCTAGAGAAACAAGCAATAAACTTTCGCGCGGAAAGGGGGGCGCTCAGCTGATCGTGACATTGACGAGAGGGGGAGTGTTGCCACCGTAGTGAGTGCATAATATTCGTGGGAATGACCGGCTCCCGCCTGGATCAGCTGATTTATTTATTGATATGACCTTGTGACATCTTTGAATGAATTTTAAGTAAAGTACAAAATACTTTTGTGTTTATATCATCCTCTTCATTTATCTTGTGGCTATATTATACTGGAAAGCAAAGAGTGATAAGAGTAAGTACCAGCCTAATATCCTGATCTGTTGAGTGTGACCTTGCCAAGGATACCACCATTCAACCAGTCCACTGACGTGTTACTGGACACCGAAAACACCAGTTGGCGACCTTGTGGTTAGTAGTAAAGCCCTATTGTTGGGGCGGGCACATAACAGTTAAAGTGAACGAGTTGTGTTCCCACTCCTTCTCAATCAGAGGCCGGTTGGGATTGACTGGGATACTCTCCTGGTGTGCAGTGGCGCCGAGAGGATTAGAGTGAAGACCCGCAGGGCTACGGTGAGTGACATTGAGAGTAAACTGTTGCACACCCAGAGTAAGAGTAAGTGCAAACCCCGACATTGGCGACCTTGCCAGGATACAGTACAGTTACGGTTGCTCACCGGGTAAGTGGAAACCCCGACATTGGCGACCTTGCCAGGATCTCGATCGAAATAAAGGTTGCAGTGGTGGTACTTGGCAGTGGTATTAGAGATCAGGTGCAGGTTATCACTAATAGCACGAGATGGAGGATGATAAAGTAACAAGGTTTATTGACACTTGAGATGAACAGGTGCTGGAGGAATGCACCAAGGCGCAGTTACAGGAAATAGCAGATCATTTTGGAATAAAGCTGAGATCTGCCAGAGTGGGCGAAAGAAGACTAGAGATAATGGCACAGCTCAGGGCACGAGACGAAGCTGTCTGGGAGGAGCGGCCACAAACACCTGCCAGTGTGGGAGAACACCTGAGCATTGGTGGAAGCAGCAGGGGATCCAGCGGCAGCAGGCACAGCGTTAAGCTGGAAATAATGAAGTTGCAGCTGGAAGCACAACTGAAGCGGGAAGAGCGAGAGGCACAGCAGCGCAAGGAAGAGCGAGAGGCACAGCAGCGCAAGGAAGAGCGAGAAGCACAGCAGCGCAAGGAAGAGCGAGAAGCACAGCAGCGCAAAGAAGAGCGAGAAGCACAGCAGCGCAAAGAAGAGCGAGAAGCAGAAGCCCAACTGAAGCGTGAGGAGCGAGAAGCATAGCTACGCAGGGAAGAACACGAGCGAGAAGCCAGAATGAGACAACAGGAAATAGAAGCCAACAAGGAGGTGGAGCTGAAGCGAGCTGAACTAGGACTAGGTGCACCTGCTCCGCCGCAACAGGAGGACCGACGAACGAGTTTTAACGAGGGAACGAGAACGAGATCTGAGGGAACGAGATCTGCCGGTCTTTGTGCATAATGAAGCCGAAAGTTTCTTCGACCACTTCGAGAGGGTTGCAGCTTTGAAGAGGTGGCCGAGGGCGGAGTGGGCGGAGCTGGTTCAAGGGAGGCTCACAGGTGAAGCTCGTGACGCCTACACTATGCTCGACTTCCAAGAATGTACCGACTACGATGCGGTAAAACGAGCTGTGCTCCATTCCTTCAAGCTCACGCCGGAATGTTACAGGAAGAGGTTCAGGGAATGTACCCGTTCACCTGGAAAGTCTTATGCGGAGACAGCGAGGGATATGGAAAGAAAGTTCCTGAAGTGGCTGGACTCTGAAGGAGCGAGGTCGGTTGAAGAGGTCAAGGAGCTAATGGTCATGGAAAAGTTTATGTCCGTGCTCTCTCCTGAGATCAGGGTGAGAGTAAAGGAGGCGGACATAAAGGATCTGAGGGCCGCAGCCGACCGAGCCGACATGTTGGAAGAAGCCTTACGCTCACGTCGAGAGGGACAGCACCGGTCACCCGTATACTCCGGGAACAATAGGAATTATAGGAGGACGGATAGATGGAGGACGGGAGCGAGTTTCCCCAAGTCCCACCTCTCGAGTTGGGACAACCGAGGATCAAAGGGTGCTGCAGAGCCGATAAAGAAGAACCAAGCGGAGAGCTCAGGAGCTGTTGCTGCAACAAAGGAGTCGACAAATGGTGCGAGAAAGACACAGGGAGCGACGGCCTCTGGAAGCAGTGCTAAGGCGAGCGGTGGCGGATGGTCTCCGACGAGGAAGGTGCATTGTTACAATTGCGGAATAATCGGACACGTCGCGCGGGAATGCAGACGCCCTAAGCAGCGGGGGAACGTGGCTTTAGTGAGGTTCGAGGACCAGATGGCCGAGAGGGTGTGGGATGAACCCGTACTGAGTGGGGAGAAGAGAGTTCACCCATTCGTGTGTCAGGGAACCGTAAGGATGGGGGACGCAGACCCCATCCCGGTGAAGATATTAAGAGACACTGGGGCCGATTTTACCCTGGTGAGTGAAACCCTGTTCCCCGAGGGTTACGAGAGTACCAGTGTGGGGGTGGCAAGTGTGACCACTGTGGGAGGACCAGTGAGGATGCCCCTACACCAGGTAACGTTGAATTCCGATTATGGCTGCCAGACCCTTGTGGTGGGAGTCTGTACATCAATGCACAAGATGGAGGCACAGGTCATCTTGGGAAACGACGCATGTGGAGGATATGTCCTTCCGAATCTTGTGAAAGGCGAAGAGTGCCTAGAACAATAAAAGGAGACGGGCGGAGAATTAGACGCCTGTGGGGACGAGAAGGGAATCGCCCCGGTGGCGTTCCCAGTTTGTGCTGTGATGCCGAGACAGCGCGAAGAACAAGGAGGTCGTGGATCTGATGGGGCTGAGGAGACGTCCGACAGCCTGGGCATAGATCACCTCTTCGTAGGACCCGGAGAAGGAGCGGAGGGCGAAGGTAGCCCGAATGGTGAGTTGCAGGTGACCCTCACCAGTTCTCTAGGGGTAGACCGCACTCGTCTTGGAAAGTTGCAGCAGGAGGAGTTCCCCGAATTGATTAGTGAGGCCAAAGGAGGACGGGTTGGTCCTGAAAAGGCTACCCATTTCTACATTCAAGACGGCATGCTGATGAGACAGTGGAGACCTGTGAGGATGGAGGCCGGAGAAGAGTCTCTAAGTACGAGGCACCAGGTAGTGTTGCCGGCCCAGTGCAGAGCGGCCGTGTTGGACCTATCGCATTTCGTGGACTCTGCAGGTCACCTGGGGGTGACCAAGACGCTGCGAAGGATCAGGGATTACTTTTACTGGCCAGGTATGGACGCCGAGGTGAGGCGCTATTGTAAGACGTGCTTACCGTGCCAGAGGGCCGGGAAGAGCCAACCCGCGATACCGAAGGCCCCGTTGATCCCTGTTCCGGCGTTTGGGCCTGCATTCGAGCGTCTGTTAGTTGACGGGGTGGGTCCTTTGCCAAGGACGAAGAGAGGGAACACCTACCTGCTGACGATAATGTGTGCGTCCACCAGATTTCCGGAAGCCGTCCCAATGCGACGTTTGACGTCGAAAGGAGTAGCCGGCCAACTACAACGATTTTTCTCTTGGGTGGGGATGCCCAGAGAAATTCAGACAGACTGCGGAAGTATATTTCAGTCTAAATGGTTCCGACAGACGGTGACAGGTTGGGGAGTGACTCAGCTTCGGTCGTCGCCCTACCGACCGCAGTCGCAAGGGGCGATCGAAAGATTTCATTCCACCTTGAAGAACGTGCTGAGAGTATTCTGCGCAGAACAGGGGGCTGAGTGGGATGAGGCTGTATACCCCGCGTTATTTGCCATACGTAACGCGGTGGTAGAATCATTAGGATTCTCACCATTCCAGCTAGTGTATGGACACGAGGTGCGAAGTCCTCTGTCCATGCTGAGGGAACAATGGACACCGGGAGCGACCGTGGGAACGGTGAATGAATATGTCCAGAAGTTCAAAGAACGTCTCACTCTAGCGAAGGAACTAGCTGGGAAACATCTGAAGGAGGCGCAGCATAAGATGTCGGAGTGGTACAACAAGAGAGCTACGCAGAGGGATTTCCAGGTCGGGTCCCAAGTGATGGTTTTGCTGCCAGGTAAAGGTAGGGTGACCGAGTCGCGGTTCGAGGGACCATACCAGGTGCTGCGGCGGTTGGGTCCTGTGTCGTACGAGATTGGGAAGCCGGATAGACCCCGCAAGAACAGGTATGTCACATAGACCGCCTGAAACCTTTCTTCACTGTGGAAGGAGGAGTTGCCAGGCAGGACGGAACGGTGTCCCGAGAAACCCAGTGGAAGACAATTCTGTGCGTGCAGGTGGACCAAGAACTCCCGGAGGAGGAAGGAAAGTGGTCCAGGGCGGATGGCACCCGTCTCACCAACACCGAGAGTCTGGAGAAGATCAAGGACAAGCTACTACATCTGGAAGGGCAACAGAGAGCGGACCTGACGAACCTACTGAGAGAGAATGCCTCCCTCTTCACCGACGTGCCCCGACGACACAGGAGTGTAACGCACGAGGTAGAGGTGAGGGACGCCAGGCCCATCAAGCAGAGCGCGTATAGGGTGAGCCCGGAGAAGCGAGAGCTGATGAGAAAGGAGGTGGAGTATCTCCTTGAGAACGACCTTGCGGAGCCCAGTAAAAGTGAGTGGAGTTCCCCATGCCTGTTGGTGAGGAAAAGCGACGGAACCTACCGCTTTTGTACAGATTACAGGAGGGTGAACTCCGTCACAGTGGCAGATTCTCACCCCATGCCGAGAGTGAGCATGGGGTGAGAATCTGCATTGACCAGGTGGGCAGTGCACGGTACGTATCCAAGGTCGATCTACTCAAGGGGTACTACCAGATCTCGTTGACTCCTGAGGCCAGGAAGATATCAGCTTTCGCAACTCCTGACGGGCTGTACCAGTACAAGGTATTGCCCTTCGGAATGAAAAACAGCGGCAGCTGCTTCCAGCGTATGATGAATGAATAGCTAAGGGGTGCCGCAGGCTGCACAGTTTACATCGATGACATCGTCGTGTACGCCGACGATTGGAAGACGCATCTGGAGAGGCTCAGGGAGTTGTTCAGAAGGCTAGAGGAGGCTAACTTGACTGTAAATTTGGCCAAGAGTGAGTTTGGTAAAGCTCACTTAGAGTACCTTGGGTTTGTCATCGGCCAAGGTGAAGTCACTCCAGTTGATCACAAAGTAACAGCCATTAAGGAGTACCCTGCGCTCAGGACGCGAAAAGAGTTGCTGAGGTACCTCGGAATGATAGGGTACTATCGTGGGTTCTGCAAGAATTTCTCCACGGTAGCGCATCCCCTGACCGAGCTACTCTCCAAGAATGTACGGTGGAGATGGGGAGAGGCCTGCCAAGAGTCTTTTGAAAAGACCAAGAAATTATTGACGGAGGCCCCGGTATTAATATCTCCAGATTTTTCAGCCGGATTCATCCTTTACGTAGACGCCAGCGACGTTGGGATAGGGGCCATGTTGGCTCAGGAAAGGAGTGAAGTACATAGGCCAGTAGCGTTCTACTCGAAGAAGTTTGTAAAATACCAGCGGGCCTATAGCACCGTTGAGAAGGAGGCATTGGCGCTAGTTATGGCCCTGAAGCACTTTGATGTGTATGTGGGAGGAGGGGCGAGACCTGTTCTGGTATTCACAGATCGCATCCCTCTCACCTTTTTATACAAGATGAAGAACTCCAACCAACGTCTGACGAGGTGGGCGTTGTTACTGCAAGAGTACCGGTTGGAAATCAAGCACATCAAGGGGAAGGACAACGTAGTAGCAGATGCCCTATCCCGCATACACTAACCAGACATGACTCTTATTTTAAGGGGAGGGGTATGTGACGGTGTTCCCCCCCTTATATTTCTCCCACGCCTGCAGTAAGAGTCATGTCCACTTTACCCAAGCGTTCTCTACGTCGCAGGCATCAATTTGATATATGTGGGAGAGTGGAGTGTTCTCGGAGAGCCGAGAAATTTGTGAAACAATAAGATTTTGGCCTGTGGTTTAGGCCCTTTAGGAAGCCAAGATGGCGCTGGCTCTCCTGTTTCCCCGCCAAAACTGTGTGACGTCAGTGACACCGGATTGGTCACCGACAGCAATGTGGCACTGGGAGCCAATGAAAACCTCCCGTGGCGAATGTGACGTCACGAAGGAAGGGGGCCCGGGCAGCGCGCCGTGTTGGCGCCATCAGTCAGACACGACACGTCAAGGAGGTTGGACGTGCGACGATTGGTCCTGTCAGTTTGACAGTTGTTTCCCGCTCCCGTGGATTTTACGCGTCACCTGAAGTCTGCCAGTACTCTGCGAGGTCTTCCTTAGTTCATGTGTTGAACCAGAGAGGGAATCGACGGTTATTGAGCAACAAGTGCTCCAGGTCAGGTACTGTGCGAGAAGAAGTGAAGTCTGTGCAGTGACGTATGCGACGTCTGAGGCAGTTCACCCATTCGTGACGGCGTAGTGGCTGAACAGAGCCACTGGGTAGCAGAGGAAGAAGAGGACTATTTGGGGAACCCGAACGACTGCAGCCGAGAAGTAGGCGGGCAGCCGTGGCTGGGAGAAGTCGACGGCCAGGAGACCGACTCCAACCCTGCAAGAAGTCGAGGAGGAGCACGGACCTGCAGGGAAGAAGGCACGGAGACGACACGCTAAACGGTGGGACAGCGATTGGGTTCCTGGAGGACACGACAACGTGTGTGTGGGGGCGTTCCCGACACGAGGACCAGGAGCTACAACTCAACTCTCATCGGAGGATAGGTGGAAGTAGGTGTTTATAGTTTCCCTCCCCATTCCCCTTTAGTCAGCTATATTATTCGGCTATATTATCTAGCCTGAGGATTTTATATGTCGTGAGCAAGTCTCACCAATGTCACAGTAAGGCACCAGTGTGCAGAATAGTACTATCAAGATTACTCACGATACTTATATATATATATTATTATTGGTGTGTACAGGCACCCGGATTAAGTGACGAATTTTCTGTGTTGAGCATGTCTTTCATGAGACTTTGATGTGAACATATAGTGAGAAATTATATATAATATTACGCCAGTATTTGGAAGTTAGGCTATGTGCCCAGTAACTATTTATTTACCATTTATTGATGTCTGATGTATCTATATTATATATGTCTATGTTCATGCATTGAATAACCGTGTGTGAGTGCAGTGATTTATTGTGTTATAGCCCACGAAAGGAAGTACTGAAAAATCCAGTGTCAAATACTTATTAAGTTACCATTGAAATGAAGGGCAGTGAGTAAAAACCATTATAAGTATTTATTGTCGCATTTATTATAGAAACGATTGTGTGAGCCCAAGTACAGTGTAGCGAAGTAATACGTGCTATTGTTGCGAATATCGAGTGTGCGAACTTCTAGTGATCCTTGAGAACTTAAAGAAACAGCGTGCGTGCCGCTAGAGAAACAAGCAATAAACTTTCGCGCGGAAAGGGGGGCGCTCAGCTGATCATGACATTGACGAGAGGGGGAGTGTTGCCACCGTAGTGAGTGCATAATATTCGTGGGAACGACTGGCTCCCGCCTGGATCAGCTGATTTATTTATTGATATGACCTTGTGACATCTTTGAATGAATTTTAAGTAAAGTACAAAATACTTTTGTGTTTATATCATCCCCTCCAATTATCTTGTGGCTATATTATACTGGAAAGCAAAGAGTGATAAGAGTAAGTACCTGCCTAATATCCTGATCTGTTGAGTGTGACCTTGCCAAGGATACCACCATTCAACCAGTCCACTGACGTGTTACTGGACACCGAAAACACCAGTTGGCGACCTTGTGGTTAGTAGTAAAGCCCTATTGTTGGGGCGGGCACATAACAGTTAAAGTGAACGAGTTGTGTTCCCACTCCTTCTCAATCAGAGGCCGGTTGGGATTGACTGGGATACTCTCCTGGCGTGCAGTGGCGCCGAGAGGATTAGAGTGAAGACCCGCAGGGCTACGGTGAGTGACATTGAGAGTAAACTGTTGCACACCCAGAGTAAGAGTAAGTGCAAACCCCGACATTGGCGACCTTGCCAGGATACAGTACAGTTACGGTTGCTCACCGGGTAAGTGGAAACCCCGACAATACCCATCTATCCATTCAAGTTTTAAAATAGTGATCAGTGCTCATATAATGATATTGTGTTATTGTATTCTGGTGCATTAACATTTTTGGCTGCCTGTATTTCCATTTATATGTTTGTATGTTCTTTTTTACCCTTAATTTAAGTTTATTGATTTGTTGAGTAAGTAGTTGAATTATTTACCCTAGACACTTTTAGTAGGCAAGGCCGTATTATAATATATTTGTTACAACTGCAAAAGGAGAGGAACCATACCCAGAGGACAAGGGTCATAACACCTGAAATGCTATGAGTATTGGTGGCTTTAGGTATTGTACCCCCTCCCCGCTCAGCTCGTTGTCACCGTGTGGGGGCTTAGTGGGCGGCTGCCGGAGTGTGATGCTCCTTGGGACAGTCCTCTGTCCTTTTCTAGCCTCGTGCTCCTGCTGCCGTCCTCTCCAATTCTGCAGAGCACCTTTTCCTTTTCCTTCTGTTTCGTTTTTCTTCCCCCTCTTCTCCTATCTGCTTTCCGTTTCCTGCCGACCTTTTGCTTGTTCTGGTTCTTCCCTTGAACTTCTTCTATTTTGACGCCTGGGTGCTTGAGGAGGCATACTCTTGCACCCATAGAACTGTAGTACCCGACATCGAGAGCAAGGAGAACCTTTTATTGTCAATCCCCCTTTCGTCACTGAACCCGATCTCGACGGGCTGTCGGTTTCTTAAGGTGGCGTTTGTGGGGCATATACTCACGACGCACCCCTAGGAGGCCCCGGCAAGATCGGCGATAGCTTCTTGTTGGGTGTCCTACCTCTAATTGTGGCTCCATGGTGGGTGTGGGGGCACATTCGTGAATGAATTCTTCTTTTCGTAATGATGATGACCCCTGTTTCGGCCGTTTCTGGTTTACCTTCTCAGGCTCGTGGGGTGGGCGACCAAGCCCCCGAGTCAGTCCGTGTTGGAAGACCGGGCTCTGTAGCCTCCGCTGCATTGGGCCCCGACCTTGCTCCTCCTTTGGCTTCTCTGACTCCTTCCCCTGGCTCCCCTCCCTGCTCTGTGGTTGGGTCGAGCACCAAGCCCCCAGTGGTGACTACCTCGTCCCCTGGTGCGGCTCCTTCTCTAGTTGTAACTACTACGCCTTTTAACCCCTCTCTCTCTGGGGGTTCTCACCGCCGTCCTCGTCACGGCCGCCCTCGCTTGATTCCTTCCAGTTCTTCTACCTATCAAGCCTTGTTTGGTCCCGCTTTGTGGGCCAAATATTTTGATCTCCTCCCTCTTGATTCTGCGCCTCCTGACGATTTCTCCCTCCATCGACATCTCGTTGATTCCGTGGATGCCTCCATTACTTTCAACCCCACTCGTCTCGGTACACGTGTCGTTGCTGCTCCTTCTCAGGATGCTGCTTCCCGGTTGGCTGCCTTATCCTGCCTTGACGAGACCCCTGTTCGGGTCTCGAAGAACGCTCAGTTGAATGCCAGTGTTGGCACTATTTTGCTCCCGCCCCATGTTGCGACCGGCGTTCGGGACCTGCGCGACTGCCACGACGATATTCGGCATATCCTTGCTGCCCAGGGCCATTCTATTCTCCAGGTGGACATGTTTACTCGTCCCCCTCGTGGTAGTCGCCGTCAACCCCTCCGGGTTGTGAAGATTACCTTTGATGGTAGGACCCTTCCACCCTCTGTCATTCTTGCTGGTGCCGGGTGCTCTGTCCAGGAGTACATTCCTTCTCCTCGGCTCTGCAACAGGTGCTGGAGGTTTGGGCATGGTGCCCTCCGCTGCTCCGGGACTGTCTCTCTCTGTCCTTTTGTGGTGGCGAAGGTCACTCTAAGTCGGAGTGCACTTCTCCCCAGGCTCGTTGCCTCAACTGTGGTGAGGCCCATCCTACCTTCTCCCGTGCGTGTGTCCATTACAAGCTTGAGGCAGCCGTCCTCAACTTGAAGCACCGGGAGCGTTTATCTTTTCCTGAGGCAAGACGCCATGTTTGCCGGCTCCCGCCTTATGCTAATATCTCTTATGCTCGCGTGTTGCGCTCTTCCTCTCCTCGTCCTTCCCGCCTTCCTCAGACTCACAACCGTTTCCGGGCCTTGGACCCTGCTGCGCCCACTGCCCCCTCCTCTGTTCCTTTGGGTTCTCTCCCGGAGGATCCTCCTTCTGGTCCTCTGTCTAGGGTTCCCCTAGCTTCCTTCTACCCGGTCTGTCGTGTCTCCTGTGTCTTCTTCCTCGTCTCCCTCCGTTCCTCCTTCCCATCCTTCCCCTCCGTCTCTTGACTCTCCCCGCCGCCTGTCGGTGCGGGCTGATGTCCATCGCTCTCCAAACGGCCGTCATGTGTGCTCTCGTTCAGCTTCTCCTGTTGAGACGCTAGAATCCGTTGCCCAGTATGTGGTTGCTGGGACACCTGTCTCTTTACGTCAGAAGCGTAAACCTGGCTCCTCTCCTTCCTCCTCCCCGGCGGGTAAGAAGGTTTTGCTTTCTTCCTCGGCCCCTACTTCTGCCTCTCTTGCTCCTTCCCCTCCCATTTAGGTGGTTGCACCCCCTGTTCCTGCTATGGAGGTTTCTTTAGCCCCCGCTTCCCTCTCAGTTGCTGCCCTTGCTGAGATACGCTCCCCTCTTTCTACCCCTCCTCTTCCTGCTGCTGTCCTTGCCTGCTCCTCTCCGTTGTCTCCTCCTCTTCCTCCTCCTCCTCCTCCTCCTCCGGACCCTGCCCACCCACCTCTGATCTGTTCTCCCGTTTCCTTCCCTCCGTCTTTGCTCAGTTTACCCATGCCCCCTAACCCTGACTTTGCTGACCCTGATCCCGACCCTGATATTCTTTAACGTGCTCTGTTGCTCTTTCGCCTTTGTTTCGTCCTTGTTCTCTGTTTTTGTCCTTTCTCTTCTCGTTGTTGTCCATTCTTGAATGGAACGTTCGAGGTTATTACGCCAATTTCCTCGAACTCCAACTTCTGATTTCACGGTTTTCGCCCCTTTGTGTCTGTCTCCAGGAGCCGATGCTTGGTGCTCGTCCTCGTCGTTTTCGTGGCTATTCCTTTCTCTCCCCCCCCCCCCCCAGCTGTTGTTGGGGCTTCTAATTCTTCTGCTCTTTTGATTCGTGCTGATGTTCCCTTTGTGCCTTTACTTTTTCCTTCGCCTCTCCATTGTTCTGCTGCTCGTATCTTTGTGGGGAAATGGTACACTGTTTGTTCCATTTATCTCCCCCCGAGTGTCCCGCTTTCTCTTCCTGATTTGAAACACCTCCTAGACTCCTTGCCGGAGCCTGTGCTCCTGCTGGGTGACTTCAATTGTCGTCATTCTCTTTGGGGTGACGTTCTGACGAATACCCGGGGTCGCCTTCTTGAGCCGTTTCTCCTCTCTTCTTCCCTGTCTCTCTGAATTCTGGTGAGCCCACTCATTTGGACTCTCGGACTCGCACCCTATCTTGTCTTGATCTTTCTCTCTGCTCTTCTTCTCTTTACTTAGATTTCACGTGGCAGGTTCTTGATGACCTCCATGGAAGTGATCATTTCCCCATCCTTGTTTCCTTTTTCTCTTTTCGCCCTTCCCTCTCTTTCCCTAGGTGGCAGTTTGCTAAGGCGGACTGGACCCTATTTTCCCTCAGTGCTGCTCTCTCTGACCTCTCCCTTCTGCCTCTCTCTCGCGCTCTCCTCCTTTTTCATGACACTGTCTTCAACGCTGCCCTCCGCTCTATCCCTCGCTCTTCCTCTCGGGGTCCACGAAAGTGCGTTCCCTGGTGGAATGCGGACTGTGCTCGGGCTGTCCGCTGTAAGCGTGCAGCCTGGAAGAAGCACCGCCGTAGGCAGACGACCGATTCTTTTCTTTTCTTTCAGAAAGCGAGTGCGGGGGCCCTTAGGGCCATCCGTATGGCTAAGCGTGAATGTTGGGCATCTTATGTCTCAACAATTACGTCCGAAACTCCTCTGGCCCATATCTGGAAGCGTATCCGCAAGATAGCGGGTAAATTTGTTCCTGATGTTTCACCGGTCCTTCACCTCCATGATACTCTTGTGGCGGACCCGTTGCAGGTCGCTTCCGTACTGGGTTCCCACTTTTCTTCTGTTAGCTCTGGTCTTCATCTTCCCCAATCTTTCCTTCTTCGTAAACCTGTCCTTGAGTCTCGTCCTTTAGATTTCTGCACTCGTCTTCAGCTTCCCTATAATGATCCCTTCTCTCTCTCTGAACTTCGTTCTGCCCTGGCCCTCTGCGGTTCTACGGCGGCGGGCTCCGATGGTATTCATTATGAGATGCTTTGCCATCTCCCTCCGTGCACGTCTCAGTATTTACTGAATCTGTATAATCGGATCTGGGAGTTGTCGTCAGTCCCTGAGGACTGGCTCGATGCCGTTGTCCTCCCTGTTCGCAAACCGGGGTGTCTGGGTACTTCCCCTAAGGACTTTCGCCCTATTGCTCTCACAAGTTGTGTCTGCAAACTCTTTGAACGTATGGTTAACGTTCGTCTGATGTGGTTCCTGGAACACCATCACCTCCTCTCCCCTTCTCAATTTGGTTTCCGCAAGTGCCGCAGCACGACAGATGTCCTGGTGAACTTGGAGGTCTATATTCGTACTGCTTTTGCTGCGAAGACCTCCGTTGTTGCCGTCCTTTTTGACCTGGAAAAGGCTTACGACACCACTTGGAGATATCATATTCTATCTCAACTTCATTCTTTTGGCCTTCGTGGTCATCTCCCTCTCTTTCTCCGCAGCTTCCTCTCCCGTCGTTCCTTTCGGGTGCGCCTTGGTACTGCGCTCTCTGCCTCTTTTCAGCAATACGAAGGTGTGCCCCAGGGTAGTGTTCTGAGCACTACTCTTTTTCTGGTTGCCCTCAATGGTCTTCTTTCTTCTCTTCCTTCTGGTGTCTTCTCCGCTCTCTATGTCGATGATCTTACCCTTTGCTGTCAGGGTGATGATTCGCCTCTCCTTCAGCGCCGGCTTCAACTTGCAATTGATGCCGTGTCGTCTTAGGCCACCGATCATGGCTTCAAGTTCTCTACTTCTAAGACTTGTGCCATGACTTTTACGCGGAAACGGGTTGTTCTTCGTCCCTCTTTGTCACTTTATGGTCATCCCCTTGAATACAAAGATTCCGCAAAGCTTTTGGAGTTATTCCTTGACACTCGTTTGTCTTGGTCTCCCCATATCTCTTACCTCCGTGTTGAGTGCTCTA